CCACATATATGAAGGAGTTTGACGGTTGGTACAGAGAATTGGTTTCATTTTAACGATATCTCTACGTCTAATGTTAACTGAGTCTAATTGCTGATTACTTTTGGAAAATTAGAATTAAATTTCACGAGGATACTTTAGAAGAAAGTGACTCACAACACCCTAACCTTATCTATTTACATTATCATAATTTCAGAGGCGTAGCGACCCTTCCCGGCGCCCGGGTACACATGTACCCCCCGCCCCCCATCGCTACGCCTCTGCATAATTTATGCAGTAATAAATGTTTCAAGAAAACTACTTTCAGCTTTAGTCCAACAGTTTATTCCTGTCGTGCTCAGTTGTTAGGAAGATATAACCCAATCCTTATCTAAAGGGCGGTATCATATCCTTATCTAGGCTATGATACTAAATCCTGGGCCATGACATGGTACAGTATTGTTGGTCGATCAAATGGACCACATGTGTGGCCAAATGCTGGGACCTTATTATTATTGGCCAACCGATGGGGCCATAATGTTGGCCAAATGATGGGACCATATTGTTGGCCAAATGATGGGACCATAATATTGGCCAACCGATGGCACCTTAATGTTGGCCAAATGATGGGACCTTAATGTTGGTCAACTCATGGAAATACATCATTGATCAACCGATGGGACCATATTATTCTCCAACCGATGGCACCATATTTTTGGCCATCCAATGGCACCATATTTTTTGGCCAACCGATGGCACCATATTTTTTGGCCATCCAATGGCACCATATTTTTGGCCATCCAATGGCACCATATTTTTTGGCCAACCGATGGCACCATATTTTTTGGCCAACCGATGGCACCATATTTTTTGGCCAACCGATGGCATCATATTGTTGGCCAACCGATGGCATCATATTGTTGGCCAACCGATGGCATCATATTGTTGGCCAACCGATGGCATCATATTGTTGGCCAACCGATGGCATCATATTGTTGGCCAACCGATGGCCCACGTTTCTGGCCACCATCGCCAGAGTCCAGCCGTCCTATGTCTGGCACCACGGGTAATCACGGCCAATTAACACCGTATTGTTATCGATCTCTTTGTTTAATGACTCTTCGATTAGCGAGCACCAACAAAACTCGATTGATCTCCCTTGGTTTAGGAACATTCTATACATCTGATGACCTGAGGTTTCAACTGACACACAGCATCTACACACGTAAATCGACACACGTAAATCTACACACGTAAATCTACACACTACACACTAGTGACACATCTGATGACCTGAGGTTTTAGCCGACGCACAGCATCTACACACGTAAATCTACACACGTAAATCTACACACGTAAATCTACACACTACACACTAGTGACACATCTGATGACCTGAGGTTTCAACTGACACACAGCATCTACACACGTAAATCGACACACGTAAATCTACACACGTAAATCTACACACTACACACTCGTTACACATCTGATGACCTGAGGTTTCAACTGACACACAGTATCTACACACGTAAATCTACACACGTAAATCTACACACGTAAATCTACACACGTAAATCTACACACGTAAATCTACACACTACACACTAGTGACACATCTGATGACCTGAGGTTTTAGCCGACGCACAGCATCTACACACGTAAATCTACACACGTAAATCTACACACGTAAATCTACACACTTCACACTCGTTACACATCTGATGACCTGAGGTTTTAGCCGGCACACAGCATCTACACACTTAAATCTACACACTACACACTCGTTACACATCTGATGACCTGAGGTTTCAGCCGACGCACAGCATCTACACACGTAAATCTACACACTACACACTCGTTACACATCTGATGACCTGAGGTTTCAGCCGACGCACAGCATCTACACACGTAAATCTACACACGTAAATCTACACACGAAAATCTACACACTACACACTCGTTACACATTTGATGACCTGAGGTTTCAGCCGAAACATTTTTTAAAAACCCAACACATTTACTGTAAAACTGCACAAATCTGCTTATTGCCAATGCAACAAAAAAATTGTTTTATAAAAATTTTTTATCTGTAGTAGCGAGCCGTGTTTGACCCCATCTTAAGATAAAAGTTATGTTTTCTTTGTTTTGCCGTAGTCAGGTGTTACCGTCCATAGTTTATCCTTAGTTTAGTCAGACTTTGTATCTCAGTCCGAATTTTTATCATAGTCAGACTTTGTACCTCAGTCAGACTTTGTATCTCAGTCAGACTTTATATCTCAGTCAGACTTTGTACCTCAGTTAGACTTTGAATCCCTACCATGAAATCAAATAAAAAATAATCGATATTTCACAAGATAATCGATTACTGGGAGATACGCTAGCAAAATCAAGTTGGTGGTTGTGTCCTCCCACTAAACTTCACACAACCCCCACACAAACCTTCCCATAAACCTTCACACAAACCTCCACACAAACAACCAAACAAACCCCCACACAAATCCTCACACAAACTTTCACAAAACCCCCACACAAACCTCCACACAAACCTTCACACAAGCCTACACACAAACCCCCACAGAAACCCCCACACAAAACTTCACACAAACCTCCACACAAACCCCCACACAAACCCCCACATAAACCTTCACACAAACCTCCACACTAACCTCCAAACAAACCCCCACACAAACCCCCACACAAACCTCCACACAAACCCCAAATCAAACCCCCACACAAACCTTCACACAAACCTTCACACACCTAACATTTACCAACACATGATTCCACCACAGCACATAAGCCACGCGACCATGTTTAGACCTCACGCTAACCTGCCCATTCTTCCACCACACTGAACACCACTGCGATTTTCAAATGTTTGCGATTAAAATCTTAATATGCGAACCAAAACAATAGAGAGGTCTGACGTCACCAATGGTATTGATTTTCACAATAATATTTGATCCAAATATTGACAGAGGTAATAAAATTAATGTTTTTATTTAATTAATACAGAGTCAATTATTATCCGTTATTAGATAAATATTTACAGGTTAATTTAATTTGCTCTTTCACACTAAACTAATTAAGAAAATTGAAACCCGAAAGAAAGACTCAAAACCGTCCAAATTTGCAACGATCTGTCATAATACAAATAGCACGACCGTCCAACAAAACAGATAGTCTAACCGTCAAAGAAATACCCGTCCAACCGTCCACCAAAAACACAAACCGTCCAACCGTCCAACGAAGTACAAGGTTTCCAACATACCACAAAACACGGCAACCATAAAATCCAAAATACCACAAGACACCATCCTACTTGTATTGTCTTAACTTTTCCCGCCGAGTAAACAGAAACAAATGAAATCTAAAAACCAAAATGTTTGTAAACATCCCGGGGATGGGGCTGCTGAAGTCAAATCACATCCTAACAAAATGTGTATCCACCCTTTTGTTTGACAGTCAATGTTTATTTACAATAATTAATTACTTTTTATTTTAATTAATTAAATAAGACCTGCCTAGTTTGGATATTCCGAAATTGGAATCTAAAACCTGGTCATTTTTTCCCTCTTCTTTGATTTTTCACAATTTTAAAAATTAAACGAAAAAAGTTGATGCACTTGATTAGCGTTCAGAAGAGGATTATGTAATTTTAATTTATTAGATGATTAACTATTGTTTAATTATAAGATGATTAGCTATTGTTTGATTACAATGACTTTTTGTCACATTGCCCCAAGTATTTAAAAATGCAACAACTACACGCCAACAACACATTTCATCGTTTACACGTTGTCTCGTACACACCAAACTACAATAGCACACATTGTTTACAAAAAACATTTAGCTTTAAAAACAATTTTTTTTTAAATTCGAAAAAAAAAATTTTTTTTTAAAGTTTTGAACTCCAACCACAAAATAAAAGTGTCAAATAAATGGCGAACACATTGTTAGTATTCTACTTTAAAACCTTTTCCTCTCTCAAAATTCATATTTTATTTAAAAAAAAAATGAAAACTACTGTTAGTGATGTGACCCCTTACACCCCTCCCCCCCCCCCCCCTTTTTACCACTGTCATTATTGTGTCTGCATTATTCATGCCTGGAGAACTAGATCGCTCACTAGCACCGTACCAATGGCTACTCACATCGCTTCTACTAATGTTGCTACTTCATACTTTTTCGACCAAAATAGATCTCCATTTTATTTTATTGTCTGTTTTTTTTAGAATAATACATACATTAAAAATTCATATTTTTTTTGTGTGTGTACTTTTGAAGGTTTATAGATTGTTGAGCTGGTGGCATACCCATTAGACGAATTGATCATTTTAAATAGGCTTGGTTGAAAATGAAGCCCACATTTTATTCAGCGCGAAGCACAATTCTAATAAATGCCGAGGCCGATGCAAGTAAATTAAGGACAGAAAATAGAGAAATTATCTGCACCATTCATGGAAACTGATTGATCTACAAAACTCGTTTTTTTTCCCCCACAGAATTTTGGCGTTTAGGCGAACTCCGCATACAAATATAAACCATAAAAATTTAAAGTCGGTAAATTAGCAGTGGGAATATTAGAACTGCAAAAATTATAGGTCGAAAAATTAGAAGTCGGAAAATTAGCAGACGGAAATTACAAGTTGAAAATTTAGTTGAAAATATATCGATGGAAAATTCACTGATATTTAATTTTAAAAAATAGAACTATAACTCATATATAATGATAGATTTTGCTTATTTTTTATATAAATAAAAAAAACGACTATCTTTGAATAAATAAAATAAAAGTTGTCTAAACGTAGACATGTTGTACACACAGACATTTTGTGTACACACCAGTGGCATAGTAAAAAGGGGTTAGTATGAAGGTGGGGGGGGGGGGTGGGGGTAGAACCCCTCCCCCCCCCGTGTCATTGATCTTGAAAATGAAAGTTGACTCACGCTACATTACAGCTGTACATGGCGCAGTTAACCAGTGCACGTGCATTACTCGACATAACGTGAGTACTCACCTTGTGTCAGCAACAGCAGGACAGGTGACAGCAGGTAAAACATCCGGCTCCAGGGCTGGCTCCAGCTCTCCATGCAGGTCAGCATTGTTCCAGAGTTTGTCTCAGACTCCCAGGCACGTTACATAATCCTCATGGAATTCACACTTCAGCAACAGGTCTAAGTTTATAACACAACTTGTCAAATCCAACTTGTCACCAATGAACTATCACAACTTGACAATTCGCCTAGCGGTCATTTAAATTACTAGAGAATCTATGAAATAAAGTGAACGCGTTAAAGTTTGAATTATCACATCAACAACATCACCATATCACTTTGACACAGCAGCTATTAGATCAACACAAAACAGTCGGCGTGAACACGTTATCCTCGCATTACTATGTCACTCGGTGACATTCAACTTTTTTACACTCGGCCAAAATTTGTTTTCACAAACACGTTAGCAGTGGTTAAATGTGTTTGTGAGTGGGTTCAGGGGTGGGTTGTTGTGAGGGGGGTGGGGTTGTTAAGTGGGGGTGGTTTTTATGTGGGGGGGGGTGGCAGCAGTCTGTGATTGATGGTCACAGTGAACTTGTGTTGAACATTACCGCCTACTTCTGCAAGTGGCCAGTGGAACTGAAATCTAGTTTGACTTGGGCCTAATCCCAACCAGTAAAAATATTTGACAGCCACTAGCCGTATATACACTTGTTTTACACCGTGGCTGATTAGTTTTTTTTAATTGAATACGTATTCGTAAAGTTTTGTGTTTGCGGATGTTGTGTGTCTGTGTGTGTTTGTGTGTTTGTGTGACTGTGTGTGTTTGAACGTGGTTGTATGACTATGTGTGTCTGTGCGTGTGTATGTGAAAGTGTGCGTGCGTGCGTGTGCATTCGTGTGTGTGGTGTGTCTCTTTCTGTCAGTGTGTGTGTGTGTGTGTCTTTGTGTGTGGGTAAATGTGTCTGTTTTTGTGTGTGACTACTAGTGTTTGTGTTGTGTGTCTATGTGTTTGTTTGTGCGTGCGTGTACGTACGTGTTTGTGTATTTTGTGTGTGTCTGTATGTGTTAGTATGTGTGTGTGTGTTGTGTATGTATGCGTGTGAGCGTGTGTATGATAATTCTATGAACAATGTATGTCTTATTGCTCAAGATGTTCGTGTCTCTAAGAAAATTATCGCGAGCGACACGCGCACGAATACATCCCGAGGGCCTTTGTCCTTTTCGCCAGTTTTCATCTTTTCATTGTCCACCTTTCATTTCACGCAAAATGTGTGATAAAAATTAATTGAAATTGAATGGGCGAGTAAAAATGTCTTCAAAGAGAAATTGTTATCTCTGTGATTTTTGATGTGTTTGTTGCTTTTATCTTCACTGTGTGAGATCTTTGTTCTAAGCTGGCTGTATCAGAGAGGGCCTGTATGTAAAGAAGGTTTGGTGTTGCTTCCATTACTTAGATAATTATGATGATGATGGTTATTTAATTTTTGTGATAAACCAGCATTTTAAAATGTAGACGAATATGGCATATCACAAGTGTGCAGTGTAGATCATCAATCACAAAGGTCAACAAAACATAAACCCATCCCCACCCAGGGTTTTTTTTATGCCTAGACATGTTCCTTGGGGGGGGGGGGGGCTGTTGAAACTTGGTTGTTGACAACCTCTCCCCCACCCTGGTGACGTCAGCGTGTTATTGCCGTGTGAAAGTTCCCCCTGCCTGTGTACATTTGCTCACATATGACGTCTACGTCACCACTTGTTTACACATGAAGGCAAGAAGTTTGTCGAATCGCTTGACGCCATTTTTTTTGCTCCAGGCGGGATAACTCTGTCGTCTTTAGAAATTCACTGAAGTAATTTTTTTATTTTATTTTTTTTAAAAACGTAGCATAGTTCATCAACTAATTTGTTTTGAATTAAGATAAAAAAAATAGTTTTTAAAACCGTAAAATTACGGTGTTAATACAAAATGTTTAATTTACTTTAACATTAGCAACAACTAGTTATTAAAAACCAGAAAAAAATTTGAAATTTTTTCTCTAAAAATAATATTGAATATCATTTATTTTCAGTGACTATTTGTATTCTTAATAGTGTCCAAAATTATTTCAGCTCGTTACAATTTAACCCAACTCCCACCCCCTCCCCCCTCTCACCCAAAACGCCGAGGGAAAAAAATCCCTTGAATCATCATTTAATTACACATTTGCATTTACAGGTTGTTTTTTTTTATTTTTATTTTTTTATATTTAGACGTTTTATATTAGATCTATGTATCTTAAACCATCTTAAATGAATGAAAGTAGGCTACAAGTAAGAAAGAAATATTACTATTGTAAATCTGTATCAGTCCTCACAAGCCGATGATGAAAACTGTAATACTAAAGCGAACACACAACTGACACTGTAAATTAGATCTACATGTCTGAGGCAAAAAAAAAAGGAGAGAAAAGAGAGAGAGGAAAAAAAAAGTTACAATTTATAATCTTATATCCCCCACCCCCCCCCCCTTCCCACCCCCAAACCAAACCACAAAAAGATGCCCTAATTTTTTTTTCAAATTTCAAGTTTTTTTTAGACTTGCCTAGATCCCTCCAAATTCTCCACATAACATTGAATCACCGTTTGAATAATTTTTTTCAGGTTAAAAAAAACTGAAATTATAAGTTTTGTATTATGTATAAGTAAACTATTTTCAAAAGAATGAACATGCCAGTTAGAAGTATTGTTAGTGCTTAAACTGTATCAGTCCTCACAAACAGATGATAACAAACAATAATCTCAAGTGAACATGGCATTGCACGGTGACTCTACAACTTGCATGTCTGAGTAAAAAAAAAAGTTTAAATAAATTTCATAAGATTAGCGGTGGTAAGGATTGTGCTGAATGTCCGGAACTTGTTTCACGGCACATTTGTTCTATTCGAAAAAAAATTATTTACATCCAAGAACACGGAACAAGTAAATAACGCAGTTTTCATCTTCTAGTTCTAGCCGGCTGAAATAGCCTGTCTAATGTTACCCGGCAAATATATGAGAGTAAACTTTTGTTTGAACCGGAAGTAAATGGTCAGGCTTGAAGTTATTAATGGAGAAATAGGATACTTCGGACGTTTACGGAGACGACGGAAACAACCGCAAACATAAAAGGCGAACAACTTGAAGTCGTTTAAGTCAGCTATTGCACAGTAAGCCTGTCATTTGAAACAAACCCGCTTTTATAAACGTCGGTAGTCAAGCAATCTTTGAGATACACAACAATACTGACCCTTAGCTTTGATCTCTAGCAGTCATATAACACACAACAATGCTGACCGCTAGCTTTGGTGTCTAGCAGTCATATAACATTTAAAGATCCTGACCGCTAGCTTTGGTGTCTAGCAGTCATATAACATTTAAAGATCCTGACCGCTAGCTTTGGTGTCTAGCAGTCATATAACATTTAAAGATCCTGACCGCTAGCTTTGATGTCTAGACATACAACAATGTTGACAGCTAGCTTTGATCTCTAGCAGTCATATAACATTTAACAATGCTGACAGCTAGCTTTGGTGTCTAGCAGTCATATAACATTTAAAAATGCTGACCGCTAGCTTTAATCTCTAGCATTCATATAACACACAACAATGCTGACCGATAGCTTTGATGTCTAACTCTAATGACACAGGTAGCATGAAGCAGGTAGACAACTTTAATGACACGGGTAGCATGAATCAGGTAGACAACTCTATTGACACAGGTAGACAACTCTAATGACACAGGTAGACAACTCTAATGACACAGGTAGCATGAAGCAGGTAGGCAACTCTAATGACACAGGTAGCATGAAGCAGGTAGACAACTCTAATGACACAGGTAGCATGAAGCAGGTAGACAACTCTAATGACACAGATAGACAACTCTAATGACACAGGTAGACAACTCTAATGACACAGATAGCATATAGCAGGTAAACAACTCTAATGACACAGGTAGACAACTCTAATGACACAGGTAGCATGTAGCAGGTAGACAACTCTAATGACACAGGTAGACAACTCTAATGACACATGTAGCAAGAAGCAGGTAGACAACTCTAATGACACAGGTAGACAACTCTAATGACACAGGTAGACAACTCTAATGACACAGGTAGACAACTCTAATGACACAGGTAGACAACTCTAATGACACAGGTAGACAACTCTAATGACACATGTAGCAAGAAGCAGGTAGACAACTCTAATGACACAGATAGACAACTCTAATGACACAGGTAGACAACTCTAATGACACATGTAGCAAGAAGCAGGTAGACAACTCTAATGACACAGATAGACAACTCTAATGACACAGGTAGACAACTCTAATGACACAGGTAGACAACTCTAATGACACAGGTAGACAACTCTAATGACACATGTAGCAAGAAGCAGGTAGACAACTCTAATGACACAGGTAGACAACTGTAATGACACAGGTAGACAACTCTAATGACACAGGTAGACAACTCTAATGACACAGGTAGACAACTCTAATGACACAGGTAGACAACTCTAATGACACAGGTAGACAACTCTAATGACACAGGTAGACAACTCTAATGACACATGTAGCAAGAAGCAGGTAGACAACTCTAATGACACAGGTAGACAACTGTAATGACACAGGTAGACAACTCTAATGACACAGGTAGACAACTCTAATGACACAGGTAGACAACTCTAATGACACAGGTAGACAACTCTAATGACACATGTAGCAAGAAGCAGGTAGACAACTCTAATGACACAGGTAGACAACTGTAATGACACAGGTAGACAACTCTAATGACACAGGTAGACAACTCTAATGACACAGGTAGACAACTCTAATGACACAGGTAGACAACTCTAATGACACAGGTAGACAACTCTAATGACACAGGTAGACAACTCTAATGACACATGTAGCAAGAAGCAGGTAGACAACTCTAATGACACAGGTAGACAACTCTAATGACACAGGTAGCATGAAGCAGGTAGACAACTCTAATGACACAGGTAGACAACTCTAATGACACAGGTAGACAACTCTAATGACACAGGTAGACAACTCTAATGACACAGGTAGCATGTAGCAGGTAGACAACTCTAATGACACAGGTAGACAACTCTAATGACACAGGTAGCATGTAGCAGGTAGACAACTCTAATGACACAAGTAGACAACTCTAATGACACATGTAGCAAGAAGCAGGTAGACAACTCTAATGACACAGGTAGACAACTGTAATGACACAGGTAGACAACTCTAATGACACAGGTAGACAACTCTAATGACACATGTAGACAACTCTAATGACACAGGTAGACAACTCTAATGACACAGGTAGCAAAAAGCAGGTAGACAACTCTAATGACACAGGTAGACAACTCTAATGACACAGGTAGCAAGAGGCAGGTAGACAACTCTAATGACACTGGTAGCAAAAAGCAGGTAGACAACTCTAATGACACTGGTAGCATGTAGCAGGTAGACAACTCTAATGACACAGGTAGACAACTCTAATAACACAGGTAGCAAAAAGCAGGTAGACAACTCTAATGACACAGGTAGACAACTCTAATGACACAGGTAGAAAGAGGCAGGTAGACAACTCTAATGACACAGGTAGCAAAAAGCAGGTAGAGAACTCTAATGACACAGGTAGACAACTCTAATGACACAGGTAGCCTGAAGCAGGTAGACAACTCTAATGACACAGGTAGCAAAAAGCAGGTAGAGAACTCTAATGACACAGGTAGCCTGAAGCAGGTAGACTACTCTAATGACACAGGTAGCATCAAGCAAGTAGACAACTCTTATGACTTCAAATACCTGCTCCGCGTGGTTGCCAATTGACCAATAGGATCGATGTGTTTTGTTGCACGCGGTAATTAAAGACCCGCGTGATTACACCACGATCAATTAGCCTCGAACCAAAATTTGCTGTAATTAAATCTTTCAGATGAAGTCAGGACTTCAGATTTCAAATCAAATTGGTTCGATCGCGCGGAGGATCGATAAATCTAATTGTCAATATTGTAATGATAGCCGCGCATAGCGGAGTCAACAAAGCACAGAGCGGACGTTCGAGACGTCAATCAAGGTCTACAACACTGCTGGCCTCAAACTTCAAAGGATAAATGATAAAATCAATGCGTGGGACTGTGAGTACATGTTCAACACGTGCACACCCGACGTGAGCCAAATACATTTGAAAACTGGTGAACTAGTTTTAAAAATGTTTTTCGTGTTCAAGTATCTGAGCTGCGGCTTGTTTACTCAGCATAAATAAATACCCAGCATCTAATGGTGATGCGATGTGTTGATCCGGCACACATTTGTCGTGCACTTTGCCGCACGGCTTAGCACCGTGTCGCATCCGTCAGCACTGGGTCGCACTACCTACACAGTGCGACAAGTTCATGATGTGAGCCACAGGGGGAAAAAAATTCATTTGATTAAGGGAGAGAATGTTCTAGTGGACTAAACTAAACACATTATGTTACACCTATTGAGTTTTTTATTTCTCAAATCACTTTCTTGAATAGGCCTACATCTATTAAAATTCTTAGAATTAAAATTAAATTACTCTATTTAAATATATAATAACGCATCACTTTTTAAGTAACTAAAAAGAAAAGCATGGATCGCTGTATTTTGTATTGACCGTCCTTCCTAAAAATTTTAAGAGCGAACCACAATTTTTTTTATAATTATTTAAAAAGTTATTATCATGCGTTTTTACTTTCTCGTATATACGAAGTATAGAGAAAGTATTGTAATCGTGCACAAAAATCAATTGAAATTTTAACAATTTTCACCGTATTACACCTCAGTCCTTCATCACATCCGAAGTATAGAGGACTTATTTTAATCGGGCAAAAATTATCAATCCAGATTTATCAAAATTAAGAGGTTTTATGCGTAATCCAGTCTGAAAAACTGGGCTTTGCGACTCTGTCCGTATGTCTGTGTGTGTGTGTGTCTGTCCGTGTGTAAACACGATAACTTGAGTACCGTTACAGCTAGGTTGATGAAATTTCATATATAAGTATTTTATCAAAATCGTAGATCCGTATCAACTTTTGAGCGATTTCCGATAACCGGAAGTGGTACTTTTTCTACTTTGAATTTTTCAAAAGCCTATAACTTGAGTACTATTTCAGATAGATAAATGAAATTTCACATGTAAGTATAAGATCTAATTCTCTACCTTCTGTCAAATTTTGAGTAATTTCCGTTGCCCGGAAGTACTAATTTACGCTACTTCCGATTTCTCAAAAAACTAATGTAAATTTTTAAAGTACTAATAATATTGCGCACTATTATGCACTTTTTTATTTGGCGTTCACTTGGTGTGCAATCTTTTTTCTACGAGATTTTATTCTATTTTTAAAACTTTAAGTATTTAAAATGGATTAAAAATCATGTCTATAGCCCGAGTTCCCATCCCCTGTTATTTTATATAAGAATATTCGAGAAAGTTTAGGGGAGATCACTCCCGGTTTATTTAAATTGATTTTTTTAAATTTAACACTGTTTAATTTTCACTAGAATCGACCCGCATAGCGAAAGAGACTCAAGCACCAAATGAAAACACTGAATTGTGGTTGTAGCGCGATAAAATTAATATTTTATATAGAAATCCTAAAGTAATTCTAAAAATTAATGAAACATCTAATCATGTCAAAGCTTATTTCACATTGTCAAGTTTGAAACTAATCGGTTCGTAGAAGTAAGTGAAATTTCGTTAGTAAGTATCGACTTATGACGAGGACAAACGAGGAACAAATTAAAGCTTGTAAATTTCAATCTACGATTTTCTGAAGTTCACAAAGCCAGTCGTATCGTAGCATTGGACAACCCAGATACCAATGTGGTAGAAGTTTACCAAGTAAACTCTCTCAGCATCCAGTCCACGATTTCTGGGGGCCCAGGCTTACAGTAGCCAATCAAACAAGACGGCGGCCATCAAAGCCAGAGGTCCCCGCATCACCACAGCCCGACATGAACCAACTTGATGAAAACTCCATTAAAATGCTAAAAAGCCGCCTATCTGGCTCTCATCATTCCAAGCCATTTCCAGCAGTCCGATGCTTGAGATTGTTTCTCGCTTGACTGGCGCGGGCGGAGAAAAAACAACAAATGAACTCAACTTCTCTGAGCTCAAAGCTCCGGGACATCCAGCACACGCCGTAGCCAATGAGTTTAGAAGTTCTATTCAAATTAAAACTTCCGTACAAATATTTGAAATATCATCCTACTATTAGAACATTATAGAGCACAAATCTCGGAACAATATCTTAATTAAGTCGCACATCGGCCTCCAATTCACCAACTTTTGGAACTTTAAAATAAAGTAGAACTTTTAAAACTACAACTCACTAAACTAACTATTTTCGAAAATGTTTAAAAACGCGAAAACTGTTACATTAAATATTGATAAACTCCTGTCAGGAATAAATTAATTGCGTTATGTAAACTTATTTAACCCCTACCTGATGGTACCAATTGGATTAGACCAATAGGGCTACATAGGGTTAATCAATCCAACGAACTATCCCCGCAGTTCCTTGTTAGCAAATCTTAGTTAAAAGAACATAAACTGAGAGGACTGATTCTATTCATCATCGCAATCAATGGGATGGACATTTCTCGGCGCCCTCACCAGCAGACCCGAAAAAAAGGGCCCGCGCAGCTACCCGCCATGGCGGATGTAAACAGATTACTGCGCGGGCCGCGTGCACCTTGGCGGCGGTGGCCAATCGAATGGAATGTTACACGTGAATGGGCGTGGCGAGGCGGAAGTTAAGTAGCCTCCTTCAGTCGAGGAACTTTTTACCCAGAAGCAACAAGCTGCTTAAAGAAACAAACAGCCGGACACAAAGATGGGCCAACAGTAATGGCTCATTTCTGGACATGTCGTCATTCAGACTCTTGTCAACATCTAAACACATCTCAACATTTATACTCATGTCAACATTTAAACACATCTCAACATTTAAACTCATGTCAACATTTAAACAAATGTCAACATGTAAACACAAAATCAACATTTATACTAATGTCAACATTAAACTCGGGAAACTTTGTTAATGCAAGTCGACCCTAAATGGAGCAGCCAATCAAAAACTGAATAGACCGTCCAGATCTGAGCACTAGACTAGGCCAGTAAGTCAAGACGTCCCACTGATTGAAGTCAACTTTAACACCTCAAAAAATCCAAGTCATTTCTACCTAACCTTAACTTCACCCCCCCCCCCCCCTCCCACAAGTATATCATTCCCACGTAACTTTTACACCCCACAGACCAGTCTCTCGAACTTTACCCCCCCCCCTCCCACAAGTATATCATTCCCACGTAACTTTTAAACCCCACAAACCAGTCTCTCTAACTTTACCCCCCCCCTCCCACAAGTATATCATTCCCACGTAACTTTTACACCCCACAGACCAGTCTCTCGAACTTTACCCCCCCCCCCCTCCCACAAGTATATCATTCCCACGTAACTTTTACACCCCACAAACCAGTCTCTCTAACTTTACCCCCCCCCCCCGACCAGTCTCTCTAACTTTACCCCCCCCCCGACCAGTCACTCGAACTTTACCCCCCCCCCCCCCCGACCAGTCACTCGAACTTTACCTGACGTCACATCCTGTAATGTTCAGTTCGGGCCGGACCCTATGTTAGTACCAGCCCAACAATGCAAGAAACAGGGGCAACAATAGGTCTCCTGTCCACACGGGAGTTATCATCCCTTGGTTATTTACTCAACCTTACTGCGACATCAACTCACCAATCGACGCAAAGGTCACATGGTAGGGTGTGACCTACTTAGGTCGAGTCATTTTTATTTTGACATTGTATAATTCCTTATATGGAATGATGGTGTAACACCTGGGGTTTTTCCACTGACTTATTAAGGTGTTTGAGACATAGAAATTTTCCATTAAAATCTGATTGAATGATTCTGATCAGATGATTATCCCAACCAATGGCGACATGAGTTGAGGATAACCTCCCCTGTCACAGAAGTCTATAATTGCACTGCACACTCGCAACACGAGGCAGTTTATCTTGACCTGGCAGTCTACGAGGCAGTTTTACCTTAGTCAGGCAGCCGTCCATATTGTCCGGCTATAGACTCTGACCATTTGAACGTGAGAGTACTTAAGACCTGTGTGTGCCTTGCTTTCTTAAAGTGATTTAGTCTTCTAGTTTAATATTACTTGTCGCTCAGTAATTCTAGAAACTACAGCAGTGTTGTGTGGCCTGTAGCTGTTCTTTAGACAGTGTAGAAATCTGTGATAGTGTTTTTTCCTACATTGTGTAAGTTGGTTTTTGATATTTTATACATTAAATATTTTATTTAGTTCAACCTTGTGTTCTGCCACTTCTGAGTTCGCTGATTAAAAGGTCGTATGTAGATTGGATGAGTGTTAATTACAATAGTATCACTAGCTTCCCTAGACATTAAATTCGAGCCCTAGTGGTCGTTGTGTTAAGTGTTCATCCACTTAGGCCGTAAGGCATTTGCATATGACCCCGAAAAAAGAATCCGGGGACGTTCTCCTTCTATTTGGCTGATAGATAGGTTAACGTTACAAAGTGGGAGCTCGCCGAGATTTAATCTGTCGTTCCAGTTGTTGGTTATATCAGTTGAATACTAAGGTTAGTTGGATTTGGTTGTTTTTATATCCAGTAGCGCAGTGTTCTTACAACGCGCGCTCAGGCTAGAGTTATCTAGGTCAAATAAGCAGACGTGTCACGTCCTACATTTAGAGGTCAAGTACACGGCCCAACGCTGTGTGTTAAGTTAGTGAATCTAGGCTTGTTGTGATTTTCAAGTTAGCGTTATGGAGTCTTTTTTGGCTAATCCTACTTTTGAAGAGGTCGAAAAGTTGAGTAGAAAAGTTTTGGTTAGTGTAGTTAAGGAATTGAAATTGGATTATTCTGTTACGCAGAAGTCAGAGGTGTTGAGAGATAAAATTGTTGTTCATTTCATTAATGAAGGGGTATTTGATGAAAGTTTGTTGGCTGGTGTGTTACTCCGCGAGGAGAAAGTTGCTTTAGAGAAGGCATTAAAAGAACAGGAGTTAGAGGTTAAAATTGCTTTAGATAGGAGGAGGTTGGAATCAGAATTTGGTCAAGTTAGTGATGTTACTTCTCTGGTAGATCCAAAAAAGTTGTCGGTGGGGCAAGTGATTGCCAAATTTGGGAAATTAGTTCCTAAATTTGATGAAACAGATTTGGTCGTTTTCTTTAACTCGTTTGAGAGTTTAGCGAAGACATGTGAATGGCCCGAATCTTCCATTACTGCTTTATTGAGCTCTGTCCTTACTGGGAAAGCTGCAAAAACATACCAGGCACTCTCTCACGACGTTCAAAATAACTATAGTTTGGTCAAGACTGCCATTTTAAAGGCCTACGCACTGACGCCCGAGGCCTATCGGACAAAATTCCGAACACTCCGCAAGTTACCCACACAATCATATGTGGAATTTCTCTTTGAAAAGGAGAAAATATTCTCAAGGTGGCTACACTCTGAGGAAGTTTCTGAGTTTGAGAAACTCAGGTCACTTATCCTAAGGGAAGAATTCCTATCGTCCCTGCCTGAAGAGATACGACTACACATTCTGGATAACAAGATAACTGACATCCAGAAGGCTGCTGAGTCGGCTGACACATATATGTTGGTGCATAAGAAACCACCAGTGTCAGGAAACCGCCTCAACCCCGTGCTTCCCCTTTTTGGCAGCAATCATTCTGTTGGCCAACATTTGAAGGCATCACAGTCCAGAGAGAAACCAAGATCAACTCTCAATCGTCGAGCAGTATGCCAGTTCTGCAAAAGGCCTGGTCACCATGTCAAGGACTGTTACAAACGTCTTCAGAATAACAGAGAGGTGGTGCGTACTTCCGCGCACTATGCTCTATCCCCTCAAGCAGCCAGTTCAACTATGAACTCTAGAATTCTAAAGGACTCTAACCCTAAGTGTCCGCAAGAAGGTAGTCAAGTCTCCACACATTATGTGCAGTCACATTTTGACTGTTCTCGCCACCATCCAGTTTCTTCCGAGTCTACCGATCTCGAGGGATCGAGAAAAGTTGACTTTTCATCTTTTATGGCCGAAGCCATCATTAGCAAACCAGGTGATCCGTTGTCTCAGAAGAATATCACCGTTCTAAGAGACACAGGAGCGTCACAATCACTCCTTTTGAAAAGTTCAATGGACATTTCACCAGAGACGAACACCGGAAGGATTTCCATTATCCAGGGAGTGGGGACAAAATCTACTGTCGTCCCTCTACACAAGTTTGCCCTGAAACATCATCTCGTCGAAGGTGAGGTCATTTTAGGTGTGATAGATAGTATTCCAGTCCCAGGAGTACACCTACTTCTAGGGAATGACCTTGCGGGAAGCAAAGTATACCCCTGTACGGTTTCAGACCCTTTGTCAACAGTTCCAGATAATGATTATGAACTGTATCCTGCATGTGCGGTGACAAGAAGCCAGACCAAACAATTGGCTGACACAACGTCTGAACCACATCTACCATCATCGTCAAGAAATTCGACTCCCAAACTGGAGTCTATGCTTCCAGAAAACACAAGCTTGGGCTTACCCCTGAGGATATCTCAGGAAGACATCATTAAAGCTCAACAAGTCGACGCGGAACTCAAAGCAACGGTCGAAAAATCTCTATCATCTGACGATGGAGAATATTTCGCCGAGAATGGCCTCTTCTTTCGTCGCGCTATACCAGTGATTGCCTCACCAGCCGAACCATGGTTGGGTAAAAACCAGCTGTGGGTCCCTCCACCTTATCGGCATGAAATACTTAAGCTGGCACATGACCATCCAATGTCAGCGCACCCAGGTGTCACTAAAACGACGGCGAAGATCAAAGAACTGTTCTTTTGGCCCAAAATGAGAAAAGATGTGTCGCGTTACTGTAGAAGTTGCACGAACTGTCAGTTGGCCGGAAAGCCAAACCAGACAATTCCTAAGGCCCCTTTGAGTCCGATTCCTGTATTAGAAGAACCTTTTTCTAAAATCGTCATGGACTGTGTAGGTCCCTTGCCTAAAACCAAGACGGGCAACGAGTACCTACTTACCTTTATGTGTTCAAGTACCCGCTTTCCCGAGGCGATTCCCTTACGGAACATTAAGGCAAAGACTGTAGTCAGAGCCATGACCCGGTTCTTCACTACCTTTGGATTACCTAGAATCGTGCAAACAGATCAAGGCAGCAACTTCACCAGTCACCATTTTCAGGAAGCGCTAGCCAAGCTAGGCGTTACCCACATCACCAGCTCAGCCTACCACCCTCAGTCTCAAGGCGTACTTGAGAGGTTCCACCAAACCCTCAAAACCATGCTAAGGACATTCGCTAACAGTAACACCCAATGGGATGAGTCTGTTCCTTGGATTATTTTCGCCGCGAGGGACTGTGTCCAGGACTCTTTAGGCTACTCGCCTTTTCAACTTGTGTTTGGACATTCTGTCCGTGGCCCCCTGAAGCTGATACACGAACGTTGGACAGGTACCAGTGATCATCCAGTGGAAAACTTCGACGATTTTCACGTTCGACTGAAAGCCGTGTGCGAAATGGCTCACAAGAACTTAAGAAAGGCCC